TTAAAAATAAATATTCTAAAAATTATACAGGTGGCAAGATAGAGTTATCCACACTCTGTATTTCTACTCTTACCAGTTAAAAATCAAAGACATAGAAATTTTCTTTCATTCTTTCATTTAAATACTCTGTACATTCAAGTATTATTGTGTTGTATTTATTCTTCAGCACAGAAAGTTAAATCAGTCATTTGGAAAAGACACTCTTTCCCAAAGAAATACACATTCTTATAGCAAATAATGTTCACAATCTCTCCGCTGACTCTTTCCACACCTGCTTAGTCAGAAGAAGCTGGAGGAAAAATGGTAACAGTATACACTGAGCACATAACAGAATTTTGCTATCCAACTTCAACTTAGCCCTATAGTAAATTTTTGTTCCTTTTTTTCCCTAAATTGATATTGCAAGCAAATAATATGTATTTCTAGAGATGCTTTGGAGAATGGACACAAAATTCAAAAATAAATAATTGATTTCTACTCTCCAGATACCCCAGGGCATTTTTCCAGAGGATATTTCCTTTTTCCCCCTCTAAGTACCATGATTTAGTCCTTACATGTCCTAATTATTGTATAGTCTCAGAGCAGGATCTTCCTCACATGCCATCTTACACTCACAGTTCCATAACTGTGTCCTGTTCTTTTTCTGTACCCTCTGTCTCCACAGATCTTATCATATCTTTTCATATTATTAGCAGTGTTCAATAAACTTACTGAAATTTTTGAGTTTGAAGAGTTATCATAGACATCACCATCATTTCATTAATATAGGACATTTCAACACCACAGGAAAGAGATGCAAAATCTTAAAATACAAAAAATTTCTTTATATTGAATGATTTCAATTTATAAAAAAACGCTATTTTGTCCTTATTTTTCTTATTTTGACATAGACCAAAGACTGCTTGATCAGGGAGTGGTATCAGTTCAAAGACTGGTTTTAAAAAATACATGCTCAGCCTGGGCAACATAGCAAGACCTCCACTTCTACAAAAAATTTTAAAAATTAGCCAGGCATAGTGGTGCACAACTATAGTAACAGCTACTTGGGAGGCTGAGGCGGGAGGATCGCTTGAGTCCAGGAGTTCGAGGTAGCAGTGAGTTGTGATCATACCACCGTAGTCCAGCCTAGGCAAGAGATCAAGACTGTGTCTCTAAGGGAAAAAAAAAAATTGAGTACGCATCACTGAAGGATCAGAGGAAACAATCTCTGAGGCTCACAGAAAGCTGGGAATACTTCCTCTTTCCACCAGAAGCAGACGGCAAACAACATGATTAATGGGATACTGGGAGAGAGTACTCAGAAATGTTTTGCTTAAGGTAGTGAGGCAAAATTAGCCCTAGACTAAATGCTGCCACTGTCTTGCTTAATATAGCTTAACAGACCTGAAAAGAATAAACCGTTTCCAGGTAACTTAACTGCATCCTGGAAAAAAAATTGAAGAATAGCTAGAGATGAAAAAGAAAAAAGTCTTAAAAAATTCTCAACACAGTATCCCTGGCAAAAAGAAAAAAAAAATAGTTAAAGGAATACAGAAATACCCAGCACCCAACAAGGTAAACTGTACAAAGTCTGATGTGCAATCAAAATTAACAGGCAGAAAAAAGCAGAAAAATTCAATCGGTAATGAGGGGGTAAAACATCAATCAATTGAAACACCAACTTACAAATGACACAGATGATAGAATCAGTAGACAAAAGCATTAAAAGTTTTTTGGGGTTTTTTCTTTTGTTTTAAAGACAGGGTCTTGCTTTATCGCCCAGGCTGG